AGAAAAAAATTGTAAGTTAACTCTAATTATGAGGGACTAGTTTGCACAACCCTGTGCAAATACATTTGAAATCTGCATGTATTACTATCCAATTCAAATTCTAGCTGCTTCAATACCATATCTTGTCTGATGCTTAGAGCATTCCAGAATTTCAGATAATGAAATGGAAAGTTGGAGGCATTAAGTAAGCCAGTGTATTACAGGGACCGTGGGATTCCTGCAAACCCAGGTCAGCCAACTTTGTTTCCAAGTATGTGCCCTGTGACTGTGCAAGGCCACTCATCTTTCGCCCTCTACTGCCTCACTGTGGCCATGCCAGGCAATGCAAGCTTTTAAATTTTGGCTTCTTTCTTTGGAATTACACATCCAATGGCTTTAATTTGTTTTACTACAGTTTTATTGACGAATGCACTTTAATAAATGTGAAATTTTGATAGAAATGAGAATTATTAATATCACTACTAAAGCAGCCTGGCAAGTACAGGAGTTAAGCCAAGATTTCTTTAGTTTATAGAGATGAAATTACCTTTAAAAATGGAAGCTGGAAGGTAGAGAGAAAAAAGGTATCAGGACCCATTACCGTGCTGACTGCAGGGTAATTTGCTGTCACGAATCCTTTAAATTGGTCCAGTTATTCCAATTGCTTTAAGGAAGAAAAGAAAGATTTGAAATTTAAATAACTGAGGTATGCTTCCAAGGGTAAGAGATACACACTGGTTAAGTGTTGGATAGTGGAGCTGGAGACCCCATCCTTTATAAAAATGTTTGTTGATTTACAATGTTGGTGATTTTTTTCTTTCTTTTCCTTCTTTCGTTCCTTCTCTCTTTCTCTCTTTTTGAGATGGAGTCTCGTTCTGTCACCCAGGGAGTGCACTGGTGCTATCTTAGCTCACGGCAACCTCTGCCTCCCAGGTTCAAGCCATTCTCCTTCCTGGGCCTCCCGAGTAGCTGGGACTACAGGTGCGCACCACCATGCTTGGCTAATTTATTTTGTATTTTAGTAGAGACAGGGTTTTACCATGTTCCAAGCTGGTCTTGAACTCCTGAGCTCTGGCAACCCGCCGCCTTGGCCTCCCAAAGTGCTCGGATTACAGGAGTGAGCCACCATGCCCGGCCAATGTTGGCGATTTTCAAGCTTTGATCTGTAACCGGAGAATGATTTAATTTAGTCTTTCAGAAAAGCGATAATGTGTGGATTAATCTTATATTTGTAATGGGATCCCACTTAAGGGGCAGTTCCATGCTGGGGAGTAGAATTGCCTCAGCTCAGTTCATCTCACAGTTCCAAGGGGCAGCCTCACAGGCTGCATGGTGTATCCTAACCGTAGAGTCAGCAGGCTCGGAAGTTGGGCAGCTGAATTCAGTTCCACATCTGCTACCTATCAGCTGAGTAAACAGCAGCACATTACTCAACTTCTCAGAACCTCACTTTTTCCTGTAAAATGTGAATAACAATAATATTGGCTTCATAGGACTTTTGTGATGACAATGAGAACAATTGCAAAAAATATTTATCATAGCACTTGAAAGTAAGTGTTCAAGAAATGGTGGCTACTTGTATGTGGCAGGCACTGTTCTAAGTCCTTCACATATGTTAATTTCTGTAATCCTCACGGCACTGCTATGAGCTAGCTCTTATTATCATCCTCATTTTATAGACACAGAAACCAAGGCTTACAAAGTTTAAGCAAATTGCCCATGTAAGAGCTAGAAGTAGCTACCTCAGTTAGCTATTGCTGTGTATCATCCAGCGATTGTTTTCCTTCTTTTCTCTTTCCCTTTGTCTGTCTTTTCTTTCTTTCTTTCTTTCTTCTTTCTCTTTCTTTCTTCCTTCCTTCTTTCTTTCTCTCTCTCTCTCTTTCTCTCTCTCTCTCGCTTTCTCTCTCTCTCTCGCTTTCTCTCTCTCTTTCTTCCTCTCTCTCTCTCTTTCTTCCTCTCTCTCTCTCTCTCTCTCTTTCTTTCTTTTGACAAGTCTCATTCTGCCACCCAGGCTGCAGTGCAATGATCAGTCCGACTCCATTGTCTTCTCATCAAGATCTAAGAAGGGCTTTTGGTAAGTAAAATGCAATTTATTCCTAAGCTTAGAGAAAATCTCTGTAGTCTCAGGGGCCTTTCTTTTCAAAAGAAGGAAAGATTAATTCTAACATCTTGAGTGTGGGAAGGAGGGAAAGTGGGAGCTATCCTCACATTTCACCTCAGCCTTGGTTTCTCTCTCCATGTTCCCAGTCTGGAATTCCCATCCACTGCTGGAAGAGGTCTCTTCTATTCTTGGTGATTCTGTCTTCAGAGTCTGGGCCTCTGAACCCAGCAGCGACTGAGGTCTCTTTGTGGACAGACTGATCTCTCCTGCCAGGACTGTTGTCAGACTCCATCTGCCTCTTGGGGCGGCCCCCTCCTTGATCCCCGGCTCCCATGGAGCAAACAATTCTGCAGAATGCAGCAATGTGTACATGATGTTGTCCCATGACTACAGTAGAACAGGACAAAACTAGGCCACTTCTTAGTCAGGGCTGAACACGAAGCAAAGAAAAGACGGCGTGCCACCACAAAAGTAACCAACACGCCTCTCCTGGGTGACATGAGCCACTGCTGTTTCTTTAGCAGTGACAGTGTAACTACACTTTGTTCTCCGTGATTCCTAGATGATCATAATGAAGGCAGCAAAGTGCCCTCCTTCCCTGCACCACTCAGCTGAGAATAAACCTCTATTTCTTTAAACCTTCCCTCAAATCACCTGACATAAAGCCCAAACCCTATAATAAGTATCCTGATTCCCTCTTGGAAGATATTCTGGGGCTGGGTGCAATGGCTCCCACTTACAACCTCAGTGCTTCGGGAGCACAAAGCTGAAGGATTGCTTGAGGTCAGAACTAGCTTGGACAACACAGTGAGAACCTGTCTCTACAAAAAATTAAACAACTAGCCGGGCATGGTGGTGCATGCCTTACAATGGGTCCTAGTCACTTGGGAGGCTGAGGCAGGAGGTTCACCTGAGCCCAGGAGGTTGAGGCTGCAGTGAGCTATATGATTGTGCCACTGCACTCCAGCCTGGGTGACACAGCAAGATCATGTCTCTTAAAAGAAAAGAAACCAGCCTGGCCAACATGGTGAAATCCCGTCTCTACTAAAAATAAAAAAATTAGCTGGGCATGTTGGCACATATTTGTAGTCCCAGCTACTTGGGAGACCGAGGCATGAGAATCACTTGCACCTGGGAGGTGGAGGTTGCAGTGAACTGAGATCACACCACTGCACTCCAGCCTGGATGACACAGTGAGACTCTGTCTCAAAAAACAAAAACAACCAGAAAAAAAAGGGCAAGCTGTTTCTCTGTGATGTTCAGTGATATAGATCAAATACTTAGAGCAAATTACTTAACCACTTTGTGCTTCGGTTTTCTCATCTGCAAAATGGGGACAAAAATAGTACCTATGTCATAAGGATAAGATTAAATAATTTAACATATGCAGAGTGCTCAGAACAGTTCCTGGACCCTTTTGAAGAGCTATGTAAATGTCCGTCATTATTGACAGCATCGTCCACATCTTCACCACCCCTGCTACTATGATTAGTTCTGTGGCAAAGCAGCATGGGCCAGGACGCAGAGATAGAAGCATATGACATAATGTGATGGAGAACTGGAGGCCAGCACTGATGATGCAGGAGGAGTAGGGACAGGCAGGGACTGTACTGTGACCTGAAATCATGATATGTTGGGTTTTTCAACTGTATATGATCCATTTCTGCCTGTTAAGACGCAAGGTCCAAGAACTCCATGAGGAACTTGTGTGGTAAATCACTCTATGCCAGACACACAGAGTAGTCACTAGTAACACAGTCAGCTCTCAATCTTTTTTTTTTTTTGAGATGAAGTCTCACTTTTTACCCAGGCTGGAGCGTAGTGGCGCGATCTCGGCTCACTGCAACCTCCACCTCCCGGGTTCAAGCAATTCTCCTGCCTCAGTCTCCCAAGTAGCTGGGATTACAGGTGCACACCACCGTGCCTTGCTACTTTTTGTATTTTTAGTAGAGACAGGGTTTCACTATGTTGGCCAGGCTGGTCTTGAACTCCTCAACTCAGGCTATCTGCCCGCCTCGGCCTCCTGAAGTACTGGGATTACAGGTGCAAGCCACAGTGCCCATGCACTAAGTATTAATTAAATGAATACTGGGTTAAGGATTGTGAACTGTGTCCTGAAAATGATGGTGAGTCAGTGACACAGGGTGGGACAGTGGATAAGGGACTAGGAAGCAAGTCATCAGTCTCTTGCTATACACGACGAGGGCTCGACTCGTCATTCCTCCGCAGATGAAAGCAAGGGACTTGGTGTTGGGGTGAGGATGAGGGGTGGCCTCCAGGTGGCGGTGCCATTTGTGGAGATGGAAAAAATAAGACGGGCAGATTTAGGAAAAGAGGAGCGTTTCCATTTGACACATGTTCAAGATTTGTAGGTCTAAAGCTCAGCAGAGAGGCTGGGGTTAGAGAGCGAGGCCTGGGAGTCCCTGGTGTGTAAGGGGTGGCAGAGGCCCCAGGTCTAGATGGCGTGGCACAGGTGGTTGTCCTGTGACCATTCACTACTTGCTGTCCACAAGTCTTAGGGCTTTGTCTGCCCAGAAAGACTGGGTGTTCTTTGGGGATGGGAATACTTTCCACCGCAGCATGACGTACACAGTACACAGGTGAGCTGAGACAGGTGACAAGGCTCGGGCTTCATGCTTAACTTCCGTGAGCCTCGGTTTCATAATCAACAAGATTCTCGGGGTTTAACTGGGACCATGCTGCCTGTAAAGCATTGTGTCTGGCACACAGTAGGTGCTCAATATGTGCTTACTTTCCATTCCTTTCTTCCAAGAAGACCAGGATTTGCAATGATAGAGGAAGGATGCAAGAGTGATGGATGGAGCTGGCTGCTCCCACCTGCAAGGCTGCAAGACTGAGAGGTGAGCTGCATGACCCAGGGCACCACATTCCTCATCAGCAGACCAAAAGCGGTCACTGCTTTCCTCCAGAAAGTGTGCAAGCAGAAGCTCGGCTCCTGGTGCCAGAGTGAGCCTGTGGCTGCTTTTTCTCCTCTTTCACAATCCTCACTCCTTTCCAGGCTCCACCCTCCTGGCTCAGTGACGCAGCAGGAGGAAGCCTCTCTGGTAGCAATCAGTCTTCCAGGCACAGCGGCTGGCAAAGGAATAATCGAGATGCCTGAGTTGAGAAGGTAAGGCAGGTAGAAGGAGGCAAGCTAGAAAATCTCGAGAAGTCGATCTTGAGGAATTCTTGGGCTTTGGGGACTGGAGATGCTGGGGGCTGGAGGACTTGGGATGTGGAGAAGAGCTCCTAGCCCATGGCTGCCCCAAGAGACCTTCCTCCAGAGCCCTTCCAAGGTTCTGTCACAATCCACACATCTTTTATCCATGTCCCTGGTTTCTCAGGCATCTCTGGTCGCGTAGAGAAAATGAAATTGAAAGCAGAATTGTCTGCTGCAGTACTTCCGCTGACGCGGCTCTTCTCAGCTCTGATGTGTCACTCAGGGCTCCTTTGTTCATGCCAGCCCACCTCACATCTGATTGTAACTGGGACTGTCTACACAAACACTTTGGTTCGAAGTGTTTGTGTTGCGCAATTAATTAAACCTCTAAGACTAATCAATTAACCTCTGAGGCTTTGAAACTGTTAAGACTGGTGAGATTGCTGAAAAAGAGTTGCTTTGTGAATTCTGTAGCAGATGCAGTTATTTAAATATTCAGATAACAGTTTTGGGCTGTCTGATGACTGAATTGGATCTGTAATTCTCAGAGCTGATTGACTGTTGGACGAAATTGATAGCTGCCAGCTGCCTGTTTGTGTAGTAGCTATATGCACATACGTAGGGAGAACAGAATTCATTAAGCAGTTTATTTTTTCATAAAGGGATATAATTAGCTTTAACATTCATTGGGTGCCTAATATTTGCAACACACTGTACTTTAATGTACTTTACACACATGACTGTATTTATTTTTGTCCCCATTTCAGGAAATAGAAAATTGACATTCAACAGTCTAAAGTTACAGGAAGTAATGGTAAAAAATTACACAGCCACAAGCTCAAACTTAGATCTCTCTAAGGTCAGAGTGCAAGCTCTTTTCACTACTGCAGATGCTCCTTGACTTATGGTGGGGTTATATATATATATATATATATAAACCCATCCTAAATGGAAAATATTGTAAGTCAAAAGTGCATTTAATACACCTAATCTACTGAATGTCATAGCTTATCCATCCTAGCTTACTTTAAATGGGCTCAGAACACTTACTTTAGGCTACAGTTGAACAAAGTCATTTAGCTCGAGGCTTATTTTATGACAAAGTGTTAAATGTCTCATGTATTTATCAAATACCATGCTGAAAGTAAAAACTGGAATGACTGTATGTGTACTTGAAGTGTGGTTTCCACTGAATGTTTATTGCTTTTCTACCATTGCAAAGTCAACAAATCGTTAAGTTGAATCATCGTAAGTCAGATATTGTCTGTACTTTAAATAGGGGCACATGGTTGTGTAAAGAAGACATGCTCGGAGTCAGCAAACGCAGTGACCAACTTCTGGTGACATAAGAAATGCAAAGGGAAAAAAAACCATGAAATGTATTTTTCCTATTGAATGAGGGTTTTTCTTGTTTTTATTGATAAATAGTTGGTATACATATTTTCAGGGTCTTTTATTTTTTTTTAAAAAAGCTGTCTCTGGTAAGAATATATTTATATGACATTGAAAACAATTTGTTAATATAGGTTAAAAATCCTAAATACAATCATATCTTTTGAATAGTCATTTAATTCTTTGAAGTCTATCATACGAAATCTATCATAAGATCTATCATAAGAAAATAAGCTAAAATAAGCTGAATTTGCTGCAACATCATTTAGAATTATTTAAACTTTTTTAATTTAAAAAAACCCTTTAGAACTTTTTTTTCCTTTTTGAGATGGAATTTCACTCTTGTTGCCCAGGCTGGAGTGCAATGGCACGATCTCGGCTCACTGCAACCTTCATCTCCCGGGTTCAAGTGATTCTCCTGCCTAAGTCTCCTGAGTAGCTGGGATTACAGACATATGCCACCACCTGGCTAATTTTACATTTTTAGTAAGATGGGGTTTCTCCATGTTGGTCAGGCTGGTCTCGAACTCCCGACCTCAGGTGATCTGCCCACCTTGGCCTCCCAAAGTGTTGGGATTACAGGCGCGAGCCACCGTGTCTGGCTAAAACTTATTTTTGAAAACCACTCAGTGATAGAGGAATAAAAAAAATTGTATGATTTCATATTATACAATCATGAAAAATGTTTTACAAGACTTTACAATAATATAGGAAATAACTTACAGTATGGTATTAAATGAAAGGAAGTAGGATACAAAGTTACTTACAGAGTGTAATTCCAAATGTCTTAAAAACTCTGTAGAAATACACTAAAATATTAACATTGGCTGTTTCTGGGCATTTTGACTAGAGAAATAATTTTCTAATTTTGAATTTACATATATTTATAATATTCTGTAATTTAAAAGTTTTATAAGAAATAAATAGATATATTTAGGAAAAAAAACTACTATAATTAATTTCTCTGATTCAAGTGTTTTCTCCCTATTGTAAAATTACAAAGCGCCTCTCTTCATCCCCAGGTGGAATGTCAGAAGACTGAGAATCTCGAACCTTCCTCGTACGGCTGCTCTGTTGCCAGAGAATCCCAATTTACACTCAAAGCTTCTTTGATTAAGTGCAAGGAGACAAGTTTGCATTTTCTCAGGGAAAAGGCAAAAATTGGTAGCAGGTGGCGTTTACTGTCATGGAGACCGGGGATCATAAGAACCTCCAGGAGGAACCCACATCCTCCAGCGGTAGAAGAGCTACAGTGGAAGACAATCACTTGCTGATTAAAGCTGTTCAAAAGGGAGATGTTGGCCTGGTCCAGCAATTGCTGGATGGCGGGGCCGATGTTAATTTCCAGGAAGAGGCAGGGGGCTGGACACCTCTGCATAACGCAGTACAAATGAGCAGGGAGGACATTGTGGAGCTTCTGCTTCTTCATGGTGCTGACCCTGTTCTGAGGAAGAAGAATGGGGCCACCCCCTTCATTGTTGCAGCCATTGGGGGGAACGTGAAGCTGCTGGAACTTTTCCTTTCTAAAGGAGCAGATGTGAATGAGTGTGATTTTTACGGCTTCACAGCCTTCATGGAAGCCGCTGCGTATGGTAAGGTCAAAGCCCTAAAATTCCTTCATGAGAGAGGAGCAAATGTGAATTTGAGGCGAAAGACCAGGGAGGATCAAGAGCGGCTGAAGAAAGGAGGGGCCACAGCTCTCATGGACGCTGCTGAAGAAGGCCACGAAGAGGTCTTGAAGATTCTCCTTGATGAGATGGGGGCAGATGTCAACGCCTGTGACAATATGGGCAGAAATGCCTTGATCCATGCTCTCCTGAGCTCTCACAATAGGAATGTGGAGGCTACTACACACCTGCTGCTGGACCACGGGGCTGATGTCAATGTGAGGGGAGAAAAAGGGAAGACGCCCCTGATCCTGGCCGTGGAGAAGAGGCACTTGGGGTTGGTGCAGAGGCTTCTGGAGGAAGAGCACATAGAGATCGATGACACAGACAGTGAAGGCAAAACGGCGCTGCTGCTTGCTGTTGAACTCAAACTGAAGGAGATCGCTGAGTTGCTATGCAGCCGTGGAGCCAGTACGGATTGTGGGGATCTTGTTATGATAGCGAGGCGGAATTATGACAGTTCTCTTGTGAAGTTTCTTCTCGATCATGGAGCCAAAGAACATTTTCACCCTCCTGCCGAAGACTGGAAGCCTCAGAGCTCACGCTGGGGGGCAGCCCTGAGGGATCTCCACAGAATATACCGCCCCATGATTGGCAAACTCAAATTCTTTATTGATGACAAATACAAAATTGCTGACACTTCGGAAGGGGGCATCTACCTGGGGTTCTATGAGAAGCAGGAAGTAGCTGTGAAGACGTTCTGTGAGGGGAGCACACGTGCGCGGCAGGAAGTCTCTTGTCTGCAAAGCAGCCGAGAGAACAGTAACTTGGTGACCTTCTATGGGAGTGAGAGCCACAGGGGCCACTTGTTTGTGTGTGTCACCCTCTGTGAGCAGACTCTGGAAGCGTATTTGGATGTGCACAGAGGGGAAGCTGTGGACAATGAAGAAGATAAATTTGCCCGAAATGTCCTATCATCTATATTTAAGGCTGTCCAAGAACTACACTTGTCCTGTGGATACACCCACCAGGATCTGCAACCACAAAACATCTTAATGAGTGAGTCCCCAGTCCTCAATTCTTTCTTAGCAATTCTGAGGTCTTTGTTTGCAAAAGGAAAAGTTTTTCCTTGCAGAGAGGAAAGGCCTATAGGGTAAATGTGGATTATTCAATTTGAGGATCATTACAACAAATTCATAATTACAGTGCAGTGTCTCCTGCTACCAATCACACTGGGTTTTCTTAGTCTACATGGAGGTTGGCAGATGCCAACAGAATACCAGGCTAGTCTTATGTTTCCACTGGCAGAATAAACAGATGAAGGCATTTCATGGATCAAACTATCTCCAGAAATTTGAGAATCCTAGAGGTGAGTTCCTTCAGACTTACTGGGAAAACGGAGGTCAAAACAGGCTGTCAGGACATGATATGACATAGTGAGGACACAGACTCCAAGGCAGAACAAGTTAGAATCCACTGGTCCAAGCCAAACAAAGGAAAGAAAAATAACATTAAAGGAAACAAGCAGAGCTGACCGTAAAGTCCCAGGAAGCAATCCAGTGCAGTGGAACAGGCCAGGGCTTTGGCAATGATTCGGGTGGCTTGAAGCCTAGCCTCACTGGTGTGTAGCTTTATAACCTCAGACAAGTCACTTGATACTGTGAGCCTCAGTTTCCTCACTTGAGGCTGATAATCCCTCCTTCATAAGGTTGTTATGAGGTCTCCATGCGATGATGAAGTAGTAAGTCATTTGGTATATCATAGGTGCTCAAGAAAGACTATTCTTGCCTAAAGGTTTAAGCAGAATACGTACCCGATCCACAGACATGCACTGAAATTTAAGCTCGGTGTAAGGGAACATCTCCTTTACAAATCTGTGCTTTTGGACGTGGGAATTGCATGAATGAGGAGCTGGCTGAATTTATCCTCATCCCTTCCTACCCATTGGCCTGGAAAAAATAAAATGTGAGTGCTGCTCTTGACAGATACCTAATAGGTAAATACAACAGTGCACATGGCAGTGTTTTGAGGGGTGAACGGCAACACAGATATAAGGTTTATTATTGCCTTCCACAGAGATGATGATTTTTATAGCATGTTACAGATTTACATAAATCAATTGACTCTCACTTTATGGGGAATGAGTATTTTCAATGTGCCTCTGCAAACTTTTCTTTAGATTCTAAGAATGCTGTTCACCTGGCAGATTTTGATCAGAGCCTCAAGTGGACTGGAGATCCACAGGAACTCCAGAGAGATCTGGAGGTAAATTTTACAATCCAGTTTACCTTTCTTCTTTTGGCTTCCTTATTCTTTCATGTATTAGTCAGTGTTCTCTAGAGGGACAGAACTAATAGGATATAGGTATATACGAAAAGGAGTTTATTAAGGAGAGCTGATTCACAGGATCACAAGATAAAGTCCCACAATAGGCGGGCTGCAAGTTGGGGAACAAGGGAGCCAGTGGTGGATCAGTCTCAGTACCAAAACCTCGAAAGTAGGGAAGCCAACAGTGCAGTCTTCAGTCTGTGGCCAAAGACAGGAGAGCCCCTGGCAAACCACTGGTGTCAGTCCAAGAGTCCATAAGCTGAAGAACTTGGATATTGATGTTTGAGGGTAGGAAGCATCCAGCACAGGAGAAGGATGAAGGCCAGAAGACTTAGCAAGTCGTCTGCTCGTTCATTTTCTGCCTGTTTTATTTTAGCCATGCTGGCAGCTGATTAGATGCTGCCCACCTAGACTGAAGGTGGGTCTGCCTCTCCCAGTCCACTGGCTCAAATGTTCATCTCCTTTGGCAGCATCCTTACAGACACACCCAGGAACAAGACTTGGCATCCTTCAGCTCAATCAAGTTGACCCTCAATATTAACCATCACAGTTCATTACCTTATTTCCTATAGGCAATAGGAGGACATTCTATTTTTTTAAATTATACTTTAAGTTCTGGGGTACATGTGCAGAACATGCAGGTTTGTTACATAGGTATGCACGTGCCATGGTGGTTTGCTGCATCCATCTCCCCGTCAACTACCTTAGATATTTCTCCTAATGCTATCCCTCCCCAATTCCCCCCACCACCTGCTGTCCCTCCCCTAGCCCCCTACCCCCGACAGGCCCTGGTGTTTGATGTTCCCCTCCCTGTGTCCATGTGTTCTCATTGTTCAAGACTCACTTATGAGTGAGAACATTCAGTGTTTGGTTTTCTGTTCTTGTGTTTCCAGCTTCATCCACGTCCCTGCAAAGGACGTGAACTCACCCTTTTCTTATGACTGCATAGTATTCCATGGTGTATATGTGCCACATTTTCTTTATCCAGTCTATCATTGATGGGTATTTGGGTTCGTTCCAAGTCTTTGCTATTGTAAACTTTGCTATTGTGCCGCAATAAACATATGTGTGCATGTGTCATTATAATAGAATGATTTATAATTCTTTGGATGTATACCCAGTAATGGGATTGCTGCGTCAAATGGTATTTATATTTCTAGATCCTTGAGGAATCATCACATTGCCTTCCACAATGGTTGACCTAATTTACACTCCCACCAACAGTGTAAAAGCATTCCTATTTCTCCACATCCTCTCCAGCATCTGTTATCTCCTGATTTTTTAATGATTGCCATTCTAACTGGCATGAGATGGTATCTAAATGTGGTTTTGATTTGCATTTCTCTAATGACCAGTGATGATGAGATTTTTTTCATATGTTGGCTGCATAAATGTCTTCTTTTGAAAAGTGTCTGTTCATATCCTTCACCCACTTTTTGTCAGGATTGTTTTTTTCTTGTTTGTTTAAGTTCTCTGTAGATTCTGGATATTAGTCCTTTGTCAGATGGGTAGATTGCAAAAAATTTTTTCGATTCTGTTGGTTGCTGATTCACTCTAGTGAAAGTTTCTTTTACTGTGCAGAGGCTCTTGAGTTTAATTAGATCCCATTTGTCTATTTTGGCTTTTGTTGCCATTGCTTTTGGTATTTTAGTCATGAAGTCCTTGCCTATGCCTATGTCCTGAATGGTATTGCCTAGGTTTTCTTCTAGGGTTTTTATGGTGTTAGGTCTGATGTTTAAACCTTTAATCCAATCTGGAGTTAATTTTTGTATCAGGTGTAAGGAAGGGATCCAGTTTCAGCTTTCTGCTAGCTAGTTTTCCCAACACCATTTATTAAATAGGAAATCCTTTCCCCATTACTTGTTTTTGTCAGGTTGGTCAAAGATTAGATGGTTGTAGATGTGTGGCATTATTTTTGAGGACTCTGTTCTGTTCCATTGGTTTATATCACTGTTTTGGTACAAGTGCCATGCTGTTTTGATTACTGTACACTTGCAGTATAATTTGAAGTCAGGTAGCATGGTGCCTCCAGCTTTTTTTGTTTTGTTTTTTTTCTTAGGATTGTCTTGGCTATGCAGGCTCTTTTTTGGTTCCATATGAAGTTTAGGTTATCTTTCTCCAATTCTGTGAATTGAGATGGGGATAGTTTGATGGGGATGGCACTGGATTTATAAATTACTTTGGGCAATATGAGCATTTTCACTTCCTAACCATGAGCATGGAATGTTTTTCCATCTGTTTGTGTCCTCTCTTATTTCCTTAAGAAGTGGTTTGTAGTTCTCCTTGAAAAGTTTCTTCGCGTCCCTTATTAGTTGTATCCCTAGGTATTTTAATCTCTTTGTAGCAGTTGTGAATGGGATTTCACTCATGATTTGGCTGTCTGTTTGTTATTGGTATATAGGGATGCTTGTGATTTTTGCACATTGATTTATGTATCCTGAGATTTTGCTGAAGTTGCTTATCAGCTTAAAGAAATTTTGGGCTGAGACGATGGGGGTCTTTTAAATATACAATCATGTCAACTGCAAATAGAGACAATTTGACTTCCTCTTTTTCTAATTGAATATACTTTATTTCTTTTTCTTGTCTGATTGCCCTGGCCAGAAGTTTCTATACTATGTTGAATAGGAGTGGTGAGAGAGGGCATACTTGTCTTGTGCTAGTTTTCAAAGGGAATGCTTCCAGTTTTTGACCATTCAGTATGATATTGGCTGTGGGTTTGTTATAAATAGCTCTTATTATTATGAGATACATTCCATCAATACCTAGTTTATTGAGAGTTTTTAGCATAAAGTGCTGTTGAATTTGTCAAAGGCCTTCTCTGCATCTGTTAAGATAATCATGTGGTTTTTGTCTTTGGTTCTGTTTATGTGATGGATTACGTTTATAGATTTGTGTATGTTGAATCAGCCTTGCATCCCCAGGATGAAGCTGACTTGATGGTGATAGATAAGCTTTTTGATGTGCTGTTGGATTTGGTTTGCCAGTATTTTATAGAGAATTTTTGTGTCAATGTTCATCATGGATATTGGCCTGAAATTTTCTCTTAGTTGTGTCTCTGCCAGGTTTTGGTATCAGGATGATGTTGGTCTCATAAAATGCGTTAGGGAGGATTTCCTTTTTTTGTATTGTTTGGAATAGTTTCAGAAGGAATGGTACCAGCTCCTCTTTGTACTTCTGGTAGACTTTGGCTGTGAACCAGTCTGGTCCTGAACTTTTTTTGGTTGGTAGGCTATTAATTGCTGCCTCAATTTCAGACCTTGTTATTGGTCTATTCAGGGATTCAACTTTTTCCTGGTTTATTCTTGGGAGGGGGAGTAAGCGTCCAGGAATATATCCATTTCTTCTAGATTTACTGGTTTATTTGCATAGAGGTGTTTGTAGTAATCTCTGATGGTAGTTTGCACTTTTGTGGGATCTGTGGTGATATCCCGTTTATCATTTTTATTGCATCTATTCAATTCTCTCTTTTCTTTTTTGTTACTCTGGCAGGCGGTCTATCTATTTTGTTGATCTTTTCAAAAAACCAGTTCCTGGATTTATTCATTTTTTGAAGGGTTTTTTGTGCCTTTATCTCCTTCAGTTCTGTTCTGATCTTAGTTATTTCTTGTCTTCTGTTAGCTTTTGAATTTTTTTGATCTTGCTCCTCTAGTTCTTTTAATCATGATGGTAGAGTGTCAATTTTAGATCTTTCCTCGCTTCTCTGGCTGGTACTTAGTGCTACAAATTTCCCTCTAGATGCTGCTTTAAATGTGTCCCAGAGATTCTGGTATGTTGTGTCTTTGTTCTCATTGTTTTCAAAGAAAGTTTATTTCTGCCTTCATTTCATTATTTATCCAGTAGTCATTCAGGAGCAGGTTGTTCAGTTTCCATGTAGTTGTGTGGTTTTGAGTGAGTTTCCGAATCCTGAGTTCTAGTTTGATTGCACTGTGGTCTGAGAGACTGTTATGATTTCCGTTCTTCTGAATTTGCTGAGGAGTGATCTTCCAATTATGTGGTCAGTTTTAGAATAAGTGTGATGTGGTGCTAAGAAGAATATATATTCTGTGGATTTGGGGTGGAGAGTTCTGTAGAGGTCTGTCAGGTCCACTTGGTCCAGATCTGAGTTCAAGTCCTGGATATCCTTGTTAATTTTCTCTCTCATTGATCTGTCTAATATTGACAGTAGGGTGTTAAAGTCTCCCACTATTATTGTATGGGAGTATAAGTCTCTGTGTAGGTCATAAAGAACTTGCTTTATGTATCTGGGTGTTCCTGTATTGAGTGCATATATATTTAGGATAATTAACTCTTCTTGTTGCATTGATCCCTTTACCATTATGTAATCCCCTTCTTTGTCTCTTTTGATCTTTATTGGTTCAAAGTCTGTTTATCAGAGACTAGAATTGCAACCCTTGCTTTTTTTTTTTTTTTTCCTTTGCTTGGTAAATCTTCTTCCATCCCTTTGTTTTGAGCCTATGTGTGTCTTTGCATGTGAGATCAGTTTCCTGAATACAGCACATGGATGTGTCTTGACCCTTTATCTGTGTCTTTTGATTGGGGCATTTAGCTCATTTACATTTAAGGTAAATATTGTTATATGTGAATTTGATCCTGCCATTTTGATGCTAACTGGTTGTTTTGCCTTTTAGTTGATGCAGTTTCTTCATTGTGTCAATCGTCTTTACCATTTGGTACGTTTTTGTGGTGGCTGGTACTGGATGTTTGTTTCCATGCTTAGTGCTTCCTTCAGGAGCTCTTGTAAGGCAGGCCTGGTAGTGATAAAATCTCTCAGCAGTTGCTTATCCGTAAAAGATTTTATTTCTCCTTTGCTTATGAAGCTTAGTTTGGCTGGATATGAAATTCTGGGTTGAAAATTCTTTTCTTTAAGAATGTTGAATATTGGCCCCCACTCTCTTCTGGCTTGTAGGGTTTCGTTTCTGCTGAGAGATCTGCTGTGAGTCTGATGGGCTTCCCTTTGTGGCTAACCTGGCCTTTCTCTCTGGCTGCCCTTAGCATTTTTTCCTTCATTTCAACCCTGGTGAATCTGACGATTATGTGCCTTGGGGTTGCTCTTCTTGAGGAATATCTTTGTTGTGTTCTCTGCATTTCCTGAATTTGAATGTTGGCCTGCCTTGCTAGATTGGGGACATCCTCCTGGATAATATCCTGAAGAGTGTTTTCCAACTTGGTTTCATTCTCCTCATCACATTCAGGTACACCAACCAAATGTAGATTTGGTCTTTTCACAAAATCCCATATTTCTTGGAGGCTTTGTTCATTTCTTTCACTCTTGTTTTCTCTAATTTTGCCTTCTCACTTTATTTTGTTGAGCTGATCTTCAATCTCTGATATCCTTTCTTTTACTTAATCAATTTGGCTATTGAAAATGGTGTATGCTTCACAAAGTACTCGTGCTGAGTTTTCAGCTCCATCATGTTGTTTATGTTCTTCTCTATGCTGGTTATTCTAGTTAGCATTTCATCTAACGTTTTATCAAGGTTCTCAGTTTCCTAGCATTGGGTTAGAACATGCTCCTTTAGCTCAGCTAAGTTTGTTATTACCCACCTTCTGAAGCCTGCTTCTGTCAATTTGTCAAATTCATTCTCCATCCAGTTTTGTTCCCTTGCTGGTGAGGAGTTGTGATCCCTTGGAGGAGAAGAGGCATTCTGGTTCTTGGTGATTTCAGCCTTTTTGTGTTCGTTTCATCCCATCTTTATGGATTTATTTACCTTTTGTCTTTGAAGTTGGTGACTTTTGGATGTGGTCTCTGAGTGGATGTTCTTTCTGTTGATATTAAAGCTATTTCTTTCTAACAATCAGGCCCCTCTGCTGCAGGTCTGCTGGAGGTCCACTCCAGACTCTTCTTGCCTGGGAATCACCCAGGGAGCAGGGGTCATCTGGGGTCATCACTGTGCCTCTCCTGGCCTGGACTGGCTCTTTTATTTGCTGCATGAGGTAGCCCCAGACCTAAAGTCCCAGTTTCCAGCCAGGCCCCCAGTTCTCCCTTTGTTTAAAGCATTCTCCCTTTCCTCAATTTATCTATATTCTGTCCATACATTTGAGGCCCAGGTCAAATCCCTCTTCCTCCAAGCAGTCTGGCCTGACAACTGTGACTCATACTTACCTTCTGCTCTTCTTCATAAAACTAAGTGCTGTGGACTATATACTACCTTGGAGAAGTCTCTATGCACAAATCTGTGTCTTCTCTCCCTAACAAGGCTACGAACTCCTTGAAAAACTCCTATCATCTTCTGTTTGTTAATATCCTGCACCACTCCTTCCAAGGTTATCCAAATAATTCATAAGCACCTTTGGCTTGATTTACGGCTTTTGTGCAGGATCTTGGACGGCTGGTCCTCTATGTGGTAAAGAAGGGAAGCATCCCCTTTGAGGAACTGAAGGCTCAAAGTAATGAAGAGGTGGTTCGACTTTCTCCAGATGAAGAAACTAAGGACCTCATTAATCATCTCTTCCACCCTGGGGCACATGTGAGGGACTGTCTGAGTGACCTGCTAGTTCATCCCTTCTTTTGGACTTGGGAGAGGTAAGTACAACTTTGAGCAGATGTCTCATGCCTCCAGGATGGAGAGGTTGAGGTGGTGCAGACAGAGGTCCAGGGTGCAAATCAGCAGACCCAGGCTCTTTTTCAGCTTGGCATTTACTGGCTGTGTGTCCTTGGAGAGATTACTTAACCTCTCTGTAGTCTGCTTTTCATTTCTGAAGAATAAGGGATGGGGGGGGGAAGGAAAGAGATGCTTGCCTCTCCCATAATGCAGAATTTTTGAAGACATGTGTTGGTTGTATTACTTTCGTTAAAACCCAAAATCTGGCCGGGCATGGTGGCTCATGCCTGTAATCCCAGCACTTTGGGAGGCTGAGGCGGGTGGATCACAAGATCAGGAGATCCAGACCAGCCTGGTCAGCATGATGAAACCACGTCTCTACTAAAAATACAAAAATTAGCTGGGCAGGTTGGCAGGTGCCTGTAATACCAGCTACTCAGGAGGCTGAGGCAGGAGAATTGGTTGAACCCAGGAGGCGGAAGTTGTAGTGAGTTGAGATCACACCACTGCACTCCAGCCTGGGTGGCAGTGAGACTCCATCTCAACACCGCCCCCCCAAAAAAACACAAAAACAAACAAACAAACAAAAAACCCCACAAAAAGCAAAACACCAAAAACCACCCAAATCTAACAGTTTTCTTTTCTCTGGAAAGAGTGGGAGGGATGGGATGATCATGATCATTTAGTCTTCTTCAGCCGCTATAGGACACTTCGGAACGTGGGAAATGAATCCGACATCAAAACGGGAAAATGTGGAAGCGAGATCCTCAAACTGCTGGAACCTGGGCCATCCGAACATTCCAAAAGTTTTGACGAGTGGACAACTAAGGTATGAACAATTCCTATGGTGCAGGGATTATTCCAGGAATAAGAATCTGTGTAAAGTTTTATGTTCGTTTTTCTAACTTATTTTATACCAGTGGTGGCCAACCAGAGGCTGAAAGAGGTGATTTTGCCTCCTGCCCTCCCCATTCCTATCCCTCTAGGCTCCCTGCCAGACTATCTGCTCCCCCTTTTAGAAGCTGGCCTTTTCTCTCTTCCATCCAGACCCACACCCTTCTGATAGACTGTTATTCAGACTCCACCTGGATGGCCTTATCGCAGCCCACGAGCCTTTCCTCACACTTGGCCGATAATTCTATTACCATTATAACAAGAGCATCCGGGTAAATAGAGCTTAATCCAAGGGAAGTGCTTCACCATGAGGCATATCAGTCCAGGTACAGCCTGGCTGTGAACAGCCCAGCTCTCAGGATCCACACACAGACCTACATTCTGCCAGAAGAAATAGTCTATGAAGAAAAGACGATCTTTCAAATTGCTCTCTTTAAGAAAAATTCCACCTAACTTGCATTAAGAACTCTACAAAATTATTCACCATCTCATTCATCTAGTCAGTACTATCAGAACTTTCATTATTAATTAACAAAAATCTGCACAATACCAATTATGTGTTAGGCCCATGCAAAGCCCTGAGCATACAAAGCAGAATACAGTGTGTCCCTGTGGAGCTGAGAAGTCCACGGAAATGATGCTGTGGGATGTGTGCTGGGCATCACAGGGACATGTGCAAAGCACGGTGGGAGAATCCATAATCTTCAGGTCTTGGAAACCAACAGCTTCCTATCCTAGGCCTGTCCTGGGACTCTGTTTCTCCTGATTCTTGTTTTGCTTTCCTTCCCTCACTGCTCTCTAGACCTCACATCACACTCATAATTACTGGCTTAAGGTCCATTTTCCTTGCTAGCCTTAAGTTCCATGAAGGCAGACACTACTCATTGTCTTGCCAATTATTTTATCCCTGTCATGGAGTAGATGTGCCATGACTCTTTACTAAACAATTGTCTATAAAACTTCAGCTAACACTTTAACTTGTAGAAACAAAGAAATTTGAAAGCAGCTATGATAGTGATAGCTAATGATTACGCAGTGCTTGATCATGTAGCAGCCTTAGTTCTTGAGGCTTTACATGAGTTACCACATTTAATCCTTATCACAACTTCAGAGACAATCATCTTTATTTTGCAGATGGCCAAGCTGAGGCACAGAAAAATAATTTTTTCAATTACACAGAACCAGTAAGGGGTGCACCAGGATTTGAAGCTGGGAAGGATGGCTTAAGCCACACCACTACACAAAGCTATGATGGTGTCAAGTCCACCAACTCCTTTAATCAACAAGGAAATTGAGGCTCAGAGACCATACTCAAATTATGCATGCCTGGACAGTCAGAGATTGGCAGAGCTGGAAAGAGAAACTTATTCTCTTATTTCCCAATTTATTGGTTCTTTTCCCTAAATTCCATGGACTTATATTGAATTTTGATAGACTTCAAGTTTTACCTTTCAATTCCCATTTTATACTTTGTTTTTCTGTGGACTTGCCCGTTTTCATGGTCACACAATTAATTTTGTCAGCATAGGTCTGGAGCCCAGGTTTTCCAGCTCGTATGACTGTATTGGTTCTGGAATTGCCCATTCCTGCCGCACATATGTGCTTGGGGTTTCTCACGGGTGCTCTGTGCAGAGTGCACCGGGCCAGTCTCAGCAGCATCCTCACCAGCGTTGCTCTTTTCATCAGTTACTCTTCCTAAGTGACCCACTGGATTCATGACTGTCGCACCTTGATCTCATAGCCCAAACTCTTTCTAAATATGAGAGCCATCTATGGCTCTGTATCTATGAGGGTGACAAAGAAAGAGGATGACATTATTACGATATGAAAGGACTTAACCTGGGTTACCTGCAGGCAAGGAGAAACAAGTAACCTTGTCCAAAATATAAATTTAAGGAGGTACAAGTACAGTTTTCTTACACAGATATATTGTGTAGTGGTAAAATTGGGCTTTTAGTGTAACCATTACCTGAATAATGTGCATTGTACCCATTAAGTAATTTCTCATCCCTCCCCCTCCTCCAACCCTCCCACCTCTCCAAGTCTCCACTGTCTATTATGACATTCTGTACATCCATGTGTATACATTACTGAGCTCCCACTTATAAGTGAGAACATGTGATATTTGACTTTCTGCTTGTGAGTTATTTCACTTAAGAAAATGGCCTCTAGTTCCATCCATGTGTCCACAAAAGACATGATTTCATTCTTCTATTTTGTGGCTGAAATATATATATATATATATATATATATATATATATATATAAATTCATTTTTTACATATAAAACATTTTATTTATCCAATTGTCTGTTGATGGACACTTAAGTGGATTCCATAGCTTTGCTATTGTGAATAGCACTGTAATAAACATATGAGTGCAGGTATGTTTTTTATATAAGATTTCTTGGGGTGAGTGCAGTGGCTCACACCTGTAATCCCAGCAATTTGGGCGGCTGAGATGAATAGATCACTTGAGGTCAGGAGTTTGAGACCAGCCTGGCCAACATGGTGAAACCCTGTCTCCACTAAAAATACAAAACTTAGCCAAGCATTGTGGCACATGTCTGTAATCTCAGCTACTTGGGAGGATGAGGCACAAGAATTGCTTCATCCTGTGAAGCAGAGGCTGCAGTGAGCCGAGATAGTGTCACTGCACCCCATTCTGGGTGACAGAGTGAAAAGAAAAACCACAAAGAAAAGAAAAAGATTCTTTTGGTACATATTCAGTAGTGAGATTGCTGGATCAAATGGCAGTACTATTTTTCGTTCTTTGAGAAATCTCCTTACTGTCTTTCATAGAGGTTGTACTAATTTGCATTCCCACCAGCAGTGTATAAGCATTCTCTTTTCTCTGCATCCTCACCAACATCTGTTACTTTTGACTTTTTAATAGCAGCCATTCTAACTAGTATAAGATGATATCTCATTGGGTTTTAATTTGCCTTTCTCTGATGATTAGTGATGTTCAGCATTTTTTCATATGCTTTTTGGCCATTTGTCTGTCTTCTTTTGAGAAATGTCTATTTAGGTCATTTTAAATGGGGTTATTATTTTTATTTTTATTATTCTTATTTTATTGTTAAGTTGTTTGAGTTCCTTGTAAATTCTGGATATTAGTCCTCTGATGGATGCATAGTTTGCAAATATTTTTTCCCATGCTGCAAGTTGTCTGTTCATTCTGTTTATTTCTTTTGCTGTGCAGAAATTTTTAGTTTAATTAAACCCCATTTGTCTCTTGATTTTCATTGCTTATGCTTTTGAGGTCTTAGTCATGAACTCTTTGCCTAGACCAATGTCCAGAAGAGTTTTTCCTAGGTTTTCTGCTAGTATTTTTATAGTTTCAGGTCTTACATTTAAGTCTTTAATCCATTTTGAGTTGATTTTTGTATGCAGTGAGAGATAGAGGTCTAGTTTTAATCTTCTGCACATAACACTCTAATTTTCCCAGCACCACTTATTAAATAGGGTATGTGTATGTTTTTGCCGACTTTCTCAAAGATCAGTTGGTCATAGACATGTGGCTTTATTTGCGGGTTCTCTGTTCTGTTCCATTGATTTTTGTGTCCATTTCTATGCCAGTATTGTGCTGTTTTGGTTATCTTCGCCTTGCAGAATAATTGGAGGTATATCATACACAATGCGATGTCTCTAACTAACTTTCTTCTCTTTCCTTAGGATGGCTGTGGCTATTTGGGCTCTTTTTTTTGGTTTCATATGAATTTTAGCATTGTTTTTTTCTAATTCTGTGAAAAATGATGTTGGTATTTTGATGGGGATTGCGTTAAATCTATAGATTGCTTTGGGCAGGATGGTCACTTTAACAATATTAATTATTCCTTTTGGAAATATACCTAAGAAAACAAAAACAATAATAATAATAATAAACACTCACTTTGGCCATGGTTGCCAGGCCTGGTTTCTGTCTGAATAGCCCTTTTAAAGAAAGAAATGTAATCAAGTATGAATTTGAAAGGGTGGCCACAGGATAAAAATATTGTGTAGTATAATGAGCAAATTTCCTAGTGTAGTAGTCAAAGAGTTTTTAACCATATTTTAATATATTTAATTTCTTTTTTTTTTTTTTTTGAGATGGAGTTTCACTCATGTTACCCAGGCTGGAGTGCAATGGCGCGATCTCGGCTCACCGCAACCTCCGCCTCCCGGGTTCAGGCAATTCTCCTGCCTCAGCCTCCTGAGTAGCTGGGGTTACAGGCACGCACCACCATGCCCAGCTAATTTTTTGTATTTTTAGTAGAGACGGGGTTTCACCATGTTGACCAGGATGGTCTCGATCTCTTGACCTCATGATCCACCCGCCTCGGCCTCCCAAAGTGCTGGGATTACAGGCTTGAGCCACCGCGCCCGGCAATATATTTAATTTCTTATGAAAACAATTTACTTGGAAAATACAGACACAAATTTGAACATACTTATAATCTCACATCCAGGCACAATTATATATTTTTTTAATTTTTAAAATTTTTTAATTTTTTTTAAGATGGAGTCTTGCTTTGTTGCTGAGGCTGGAGTGCAGTGGCACGATCACAGCTCACTGCAACTTCCGCCTCTCAGGTTCAAGCGACTCTCCTGCCTCAGTCTCCCAGGTAGCTGGTATTACAGGCGGCACCAACACATCTAGCTAATTTTTGTATTTTTAGTAGAAACAAGGTTGCACCATGTTGGCCAGGCTAGTCTCGAACTCTGGACCTCAGGTGATTCGCCCGTCTTGGACTCCCAAAGTACTGGGATTACAGGTGTGAGCCACCACACCCAGACTAGACACAATTATAGTTAGCATTTTGGTATACAGCATTTACTTCCATTTTTCTACCATTTTGCCTTATTAATTAGTTGGTAATTATAGAATATATGAATAGATTCAAATTTATATTTTGTCTTTTGGTATTAATATTCCATCAGGATTTATTTTGTGTTGCTACCACATTTTTGTATTTTTTTTTTAGATTAATGAATATGTTATGAAAAAAATGAATATGTTTTATAAAAAGAGAAGAAGAAGATGCTACCAGAACACTGTGGGTGATCTGCTGAAGTTCATCCGGAATTTGGGAGAACACATTGATGAAGAAAATAGTAAAGAGTAAGCATTGTTTTCATTCCTACAAATTATATGTGGAATGAGAACAATTTTAAAAATCCAGTTATAATTTCATATCTGTGATGGAGAAAAGAAAATTCATTTTGATGAAAGAAAAGTAATTCCTTCCCTCTGTTTTGTAAAGGGCTCTATCACAATGGCCTTACAATTGATGAGGGCATGTCCAGCAGGCTCTCATCTTCCTTGTCATTTTTTTGTTGGAAAAATGGTAAAACAGATTGAACAGGAGCTAGTGACTCCCTTGTGTGAAGTAACACAGGAGACTGGACGGCTGGTTAAAGTGAATGTAGAGTTATATATGTCTAAAAATAGCCCCCATTAATTACATCAGCTTTTGCTGACAAAAATGTTAGCTGCAAACACAAAATACCTGGCAGTTCAGGGCTCTTCTGGATTTTGAAATTGTAGGTAGAGGACTGTGGCATTGCATTATTTCCATTGTATGAATGAACAATCTAAAGTTCAGAAAGACTGTGACCAAAGGTTGCACAATTAGTTGAAGAGTCAGGGGAGAAGTCTTGGTCAGATTCCGAAGTCCTTATTCATTCTGTGTTAGAAATCAAGAGAGCAAAGAGATCATTGGGGCTATATGCTGTGAAGTGGGGAAGAATAATTTGGGGCAAGCATGTTGAATGATCTGTGTTTTATTTCAGGATAAAATTAAAAATTGGAGATCCTTCCTGGCATTTTCAGAAGACATTTCCAGATCTGGTGATCTATGTCTATGCAAAACTACAGAACACAGAATATAGAAAGCATTTCCCCCATACCTACAGTTCAAACAAGCCTCAGTGTGATGGAGCTGGCGGGGCCAGTGGGCTGGCCAGTCCTGGATGCTGATGAACTGAGTTGTTGGAGTTCAGAGAGCTGCTTATCAGCTGCAGAGTCCTTGGAAAGTCACAACGCTCTGGGCCTTTTAACTCACCAGCCTGCTTGTGAGGGATGAGTTGCATAGCTGATATGTCAATCCCTGGCACAGTATTCCACATGTCTGTAACAAAAGCAGTATGTGCCTAGACTGCACTAGTCCATAAGCTTTACCCACTAACTGGGAGGCCATTCTGCTAAGATTCCTTTTGTCAACTGCACCAAAAGAATGAGTGCCTTGACCCCTAATTCTGCATATGTTACAATTCTCTCATATAATTTTCCCAACGATCTTGCAAAACAGGAATTGTTATCTCCATTTAAGAAATGAGGAACCTGAGACTCAGAGAGTGTGAGCTACTGGCCCAAGATTATTCAATTTATACAGAGCACTGTATAAATGGATGTGGTATTATTGGTACTTCTCATTTGGGCACCTTAAAACTTAACTATCAGCCAGGGCTCTTCTGGATGAGGCCCAAAACATATATAGGGACTTCAGGGGGCTCATTCATTCATTCAATATTTATTGAGCACCTAGTATAAGTCTGGGCACTGGGTGCATGAATTCCATTCCTTCCAGAACCAATTGCAATGGTTTTCCATGACCTTAAGGCAGTAGTTTTCAACTGGGGGCAATTTTGCACCTCAGAGAGCATTTGGCAGTGTCTGAAGAAGTGTTTGGTGTCACAGCTTTATGGCGGGCATGCTACAGCGGTTAGTGGGTAAAGACCAGGGATGCTGCCATATCTACATTGCATAGGACAGCCTCTGCAACAAAGAATTATCCAGATCAAAATATCAATGGTGCCGAGGTTGAGAATGCCTGCCTTAAAGGGCTAGGATGCTTTTGAACTAACTTAGGGCCCAGGACTGTGGAGTATGTGGACCACCTCACAGAGGAGGGACTCACATTTGTTTACTCTTGCTGGATATGTAGTGATGGAGTTTATTCCAGTGTCAGCCCCTCAGGAGGCCCCCAGACCTCCCTCACTTCCCAGACCCAGTCTAGGAGTTCTTTCTGGCTCCCAGGCACACAGAGCTTTCCTCTGCCTTTTAGTTCCTCCACTGGAATCTAGGCTCCTTACGGCCGATGGCTGTCTTTTCTTGACTTTGTATCTTCACTGTCAAGCAAAAAGTCTGTCAAGTGGGAATATTCAATAAATATGCACTGAATGATGAATGAACTGGCTTTGTACATGAATAATAATACTGTCTTGCATTTTCCTGGTGATTTATAATGGATACATCTGCATATTTTATTTCATTTAATTTTCAAAACCATCCTTTAAGGTCAACATCATTATCCTTATTTTGCTGACGAGGAAACTAAGGTTAGAAACATTTTGATTTACTCTAGGACATATAGCTAGGAAGTATTATTATCTTGATTTGAACAGATTTTCTGGTGCTAAGTCTGGTGTTCTTTCCATGAATCGTTGTGGTGATTTAGATGGAGCTTTGTAATGGGAATAAAACAGTACCTTTAAGTTCTTTCTGAAAAGGAGGTATCTAGCAATGGATAAATAGATATCACTGAATGAAATTAAATGTTGGTTAGGAACAGATTTAAGGCTTAAAAAATATTTTATGAGCAGCAAGATTGCTTTAACTTTACAATGAAGTTTTGGTTGTCTGATTTGTAATGAGTACCTGTATACTCAAAATGCCTACCTGTGAAGCTTACTCAGTAAAACTTTAAATCGTCTTATTTAGTCTGATTTTCTTTAAGCGGCATTCCCACTTTAGGAAGTGGTGATATCTACAATAGAAAATGCTTACTAAGTAATACCTGGGTAAGTTTTAAGAAAGGACGTCCTGCTCTCTGAAAATGGGAAAAGGAGCTATTTTTGACTCTCTGGTTATTCTGGAAAAATGTGGGCCTGGCGTGTAGAGAGAGAAGGGAGGAACTGATCATTCTCCCCTCTGTTTGAATTCTCTGAGAGTTTCCGTTGACAATTCTCTACAAACACTTCTCGTTCAGTTGTCACCGCAAACATTTCATTGAGCATGTAATTCATACCAGGTCCTGTGTTAGGCAGGCTGATTCTGTGCCCAGGCTTGCCAAGCAGAGAAGGCAGCTACACAGAGGGGACAGGAGGTTGCCCACCCTGAATGCACCAGACAAGCAACACAGGTGAGAGCATGATGGTGAAACTCAAAGCTACAACTCATTGAGCACCTACTGTTTTCAAGCGCTTAATACTTTCCAGCAATATCCATGATGATGCCATGAGTTGTGGTTATTGCCAGCTTACAGAAGAAACAACTGATGCTCAGAAACAAGTGGTAAGTTGCCCAAGTTCACTTCCAAGTAAGTGGAAGAGCCAGGATTTGAACCCAGGTCAGTGAGTCCACAGGGTGTGGTCTTTCTGGAGTGCCACAGGCAGTGATTCCAGGCAGGCTGGACTGGCCACTGTTCAGATGCAGCAGGTCATTCGTCCAGTTCTCTCCATGGAAGCCTGGTGCCAAATCCACCTGTCTCCATCAAGGTTGATTCCCTGTCTTCATCAACCTAACAATTACAGTTTTAATTGTCTGGCTACCCCCGTGCTCTTGAAACCATCTTTCCAACATCAACGCCGCACTCCCCTGCTTTCCCTCCACATTGGTTGCTGCTCCACAACATCCTTTCCCAGCTCCTTCTCTGCTAAACCACTAAACATCGAGTGCTCCCAAGCTAATCATTAAGCAAATCAGTTTTTGCTCTTTCTCCCTAGACAACAATCTCTCTCAATACCACAACCAACAGCATCGCAAGTAGGCAGGTGACATCTGGGTTTAGAAATTTGGCATCCACCTCTTGATGTTACTGCCGGTCACCTAATTGTCACCAAATTAATGGTCTTGTTTGATTTTTAAAACTGCCCTCCCTCATCCAATCTATTAACAGGCCCGGTTGTTCTGCTACCAGAATAGATCCCAAATAATTTCACAACATTTTGTCTCTGCTGCCTGGCTCAGCCCACCATCACTTCTCATTTGGACTGAAGTGTGAGCCTCATAATTGAGTTTCTGACTTCCACATTTGTGCCCCCAAAATTCCTTCTCCACAAAGTGACCTTTAAAAAAATGTAAAGCTGGCTGGGCGCAGTGGCTCATGCCTGTAATCCCAGCACTTTGGGAGGCCAAGGTGAGCGGATGGCTTAAGTCCTGGAATTTGAGACCAGCCTGGGCAACATGACAAAAACCCATCTCCACAAAAAAATACAAAAAATTAGCTGGGTGTGGGTAGCACATGCCTGTGGTTCCAGCTACTTGGGAGGCTGAGGTGGCAGGATTGCATGAACCCAGGTGGTGGAGGCTGCAGGGAGCTGTGATCGTGCCACTGCACTCCAGCCTGGGTGACAGAAAGAGATTCTGTCTCAAAAAAAAAAAAAAAAAATCCAATTGGGTTACAACCCTGCTTAAAGTCCTCCAATGGCTTCCCATTGCAGCTGGAAGAAAATCCAAGCTGTTTCACATATGTGACCTGGCGAAGTCCACAACTTGGTGCTCACTGCCCTACACTCGCCTGTCTTGCAGGCTTAACCTCCACCACACTGGCCTAATCTCTGCTCCCAAGAATGCTGAGACCACTGCCTGCTCAGGGCCACTGGTTTTTCAGTTCCCTCTGCCTACAGTTTTGTCCTGACAGACTTTTGTGTGCTGGTCCCTTCCCATCTTCTAGGCCTCTGTTACAATGCCACTTCCTAGCTGGGACTTTCTTACCCAAAGTTGTCCCCCAACTCTTGTTTTAAAATAAACATTATAGCAGTAATCACTATCAGAAATAATCAAATTTACTTGTTTCAAAAAAAATCTTTTTATCCCTCAACGTGATGTAAACATATGTTCTATAATATGATGCTGTCTCTCTTATTTACCATCTTATATTATCCTCATATCTAGCTCAGTGCCTGGAACAAAGTAGGTTTCAATAAATATTTGTTGAGTGGAGAAGCAAATACTTCTGTGATTGCAACATATTGCTGAGTCATAATGATATAGTTATAAGCCTGTATATTATTTCTTCAAAATATGTGCATCTTGAAGGTCATTTTTTCATTGTGTTTGGCATGAAACAGCAACTCAATACAGTCTGTGACATTGAATTAGTTGATTGCCCCCTCCTAGGAGGCTCTGGTGTATTAATATGGGTCTCTCAATTAATGAAGAGCCTTAAGACCCTAGTCAAAAATATTTGGCATCATAGCAGGAGGTAGGGAAGGATACTTGTTTATTTTCTGGTATCTCTCACATTATTTCACTCAGGCATTTGCCCCTAAGAGCAGCGGCTCTTAGGTCCTTCACACCCCCTGGTCTGTGGATCACCCAGAAAGTCCCCCAGCCAGGCTCATGGACGCAGTCAGTGGTTCCTCCCCACAGCCCATCTCCTTCCCCAGTGTCAGCTCTTAGATGACATTTCTTTCTTATGGTTACCACCATACTCTTGCTAGGAGTAAAAGCTCTATCCTCATATGCTTTACTCAGCAGGTGGTGGCATTTACCTGCCTCTCCAGTAGGCCTGGGAGGGCAGAGGTCATATCCCAGTTCCTCACATGGTGCCTGGTGTGTTATAAGGGTGTGGTGTGTATAAGAAACTCCTTGAATTCACTGGAATTGAGAAGAAACTTTAACATTTGATTTTTGGTGGGTCTTTGCTGGAGCTGCAGTCTGGGGGAGAGGTAAGTCTTGGAGCTGACCCCTGGGGCAGTTCTTCCATTCTCTACCCCATTAGCTTTAGGACGCAGTGGGCTTTCAAGATGATTTGGGGAGGAGACCCTGGGAAATTCAGCTTTCTTTTTTTCCTTTCTGATTTTCTCTCAGGCTTGCCTAAGCGCTTAGTACAGTGCCTAGCACATACTACACACTCCGTTTTACTTGTTGCTGTTCTAATTCCTGCTATAGACCGAATTGTGTCCCTCCTAAGTTCATACATTGAAGCCCTAACCCCCCAATGGGTTAGTATTTGAAGACGGGGTTTTTGGGAGGTCATTAGTGTTGGACAAGATCATGAGGATAGGGCCCTCATGTTGGGATTAATGACCTATAAGAAGAGAGAGAGAGCTCTCCTTTCTCACTGCTTTATGAGCGCAGAAAGTGTCCATCTGCAAACCATGATGAGAGCCTTCACCAGGAACCCAATGGCCCAACGTGACTCAGGTAATCACCTGGCACATAATAGGCTTGCAGCAAATGTTTATGCTCTTCTGAGCTTCTATCACATGAACAGAATTTTTCTTTTTTAAAGGATGTTTTTCATCACCTCCACAGTGTTTTTCATGTAATCTTTTCATTGCTTTATGGCCTGTTTGCTTAGACTAAGACCAAAAGATGGGGCCAGGAGTGGTGGCTTACATCTGTAATCCCTGCATTTCGGGAGGCTGAGGTAGGAGATCACTTGATATCAGGAGTTCAAGACCAGCCTGGGCAACATGATGAAACCCTGTCTCTGCTAAAAATGAAAAA